ATAAATATACGTAGCGTTTTGATAATTTCTTTCGGCAATTATTGCTACGAATTTTCATTTGGTATTTGGTAAGAAGTATAGGGCAAATAGCTTTTTAACTTCATTTTTTATGGATCCTACAATTCTTTGCAATTCTTTCATATGCATCAGCGACAAAGTGCCTAGTTTCGAAATACATCATTGGCGCACCTATTTCTTTCCAAGCATTAAATAGCAATTTATATGCGAGCCTTGAGAAGAAGAAAAATACTCAACGTCTTTTACATTTTGCTTTTACAAAAAAATACTTCAAATGATGAATATGTTAACGAAGTAGTGTTAAGGTTCTATACATAAACATTTTACGATAAACATGGGGTTTGTTGAAAATTGAAATTCCAATTTTGAAAAACCGGTACTTTTTGAAAACTATTTTTTTTTTTTTGGTTTAAAAGTGGTAAAAATAAATGTTTTTCACGAAATAACATTGAAAAACATACATTGGATAAATATTTCCTTATAAAATGTTACAAACATTTAAGGAAAATCACTTGGGAGTTTTTAAAATGAATATTTATAATTACTTATACTTCATAGAGGGACATGAACGATCACCATCGATTACAAGGCGTTTAAATAGAACAAATGTAAATTTAAAAATTTTCCTTTTTTTTTTTCGAAAATGTTCACCATGTGCATTTTTTTTCATCAGTTTTTTTAATAAATATGAAATTATTATGAATAATTTACAGTATTCTGAAAATTACTTAATTTCAGGCTTGTTTCGTAAAATTTTAGAATGGGTTTTTGTAATAGTTACCTTATTTTGAGAAATGCTTTAAAAATACTTAACATAAACAGTTTTTTAAACTATTAAAAACAAATTATTTCTGAAAAAATGGCCACCCTAAAAAATACTACAACTGCCCACTGGCCAGTCGCAACATTTTCTAATGTCGCCCTATGTTATGCTTTATAACTATTGGTTCTTGAAATCCCCGTTGTGGGAAAGTAAAATAATACTACAAGCATATTCAGCTTCTTTTTACTTCGATTTTTTTTAAGAGTTCCGTTTTTATTTTCTTTGCTTTTATTTTTGTTTCGCTGTCTGCCAATAATTTATCAAAAAAATTCGATTGAGAATCATTCTGTTTAGTGATAATTATTCTGTTTTAAGAAGTCAAGAAATGGTTGAAACTTGTCTTATCATCCAGTACAACATTTAGGTTAGAAATCAAAGCACCCTAGCTAGTAGGATATTGGCTAAAATTTTGATGGACTCTAAATTTCTTTGGGCGATAATGTTCTAATTTCTACTCTTTTTTGGTCAGAAAACGATTTAAACTTGCATTGTCATACTTCACAGGGTAAGAGTATTCTGGTAGTTTATTTTGAGCACTCTAGCTGGTCTAGCTGTGATTAAAAGATTCCACACGGGTACAAAAGTGAGTCAATAAAAACTTAATACAGAGTTCTACCTATAAATAAGAAAAAGGTGCTTCCTCACACAAAAGGACAATTTGAGTTTTGAAAGAGGTACTCAATTACCACCGTAACATTTGATCAAAATGCGTAATATCATGCAATATAACTGAATTTGATCCTCAAAAATTTTTAAGTTACTGTTTTATACTATTTTATGCGTATATTTCAAAAAGTAATTTTCACTCATTTTTAAAATAAGTGAAAATTTTTTAGTTCATAAATGATAATGAGAGACATGCTAAGAGACAATCTCTGTGCATACATATGTTTTTTCAGGAAACGTAAACTAAAAAAAATGTTTTTTGATAAGCACCTTAAAAGACTTTTCTATATTTTATACTGAAAATTAATAGAAAATAAAAATTTGCAGGTGCATCTTTTTTTTTTAAAAAAAAGGTATTTATTAAAAAATTTAAAATCACTTAAAAATTTATGAATGTACCCAATTGAAAAAAGAATAACTTAAAAAACTTTAACCAGCTGAGAATAACTCTAACAGAGTAAATGTTTATAAATGTTTATAATATTATCAATCAGAATTAAACCTATAAACACAGATAATTTGTGTGCGTAGTTATTATTGTAGCAGTTAATTTTTTTTAAAAACGGAATATAAATAAAAGACAATGTTTTTAAGAGATGACGGCTTATTTTTACTATAAGGGCAAAGAGGGCTCATTTATAAAGATCAAAGGGTAAGCCGGCCTTCTAAGAATACTTAGTGAGAACACAGCGTAATAGAAAACTTTTATACACTTAATTATTATTACGTTTTTTTATTCTGAAATCATAATTTCATAATGTGTTTTAATCCTCTTTTTTTAAAAAAATAACTCAAAGAGACATACTTTTCAATAGCTTTTATATAATAAATAAATGATCTAAAATTATCTCATATTCATGTTATGTTGAGTTGTCACAATAATTCTTACAATGCGAACGTTTTTATTGCTTTAGTATATTTGTTCCTACCATTGCTAACAACTTTTCCAACTCGTTAGGGTGATATGAATTTTCTCTTAAATTTTAATCAGTATTTTCACTTATATATAACTTTTTTTTAAAAAAATACCCCTGTGAGTTGAAAAAGATTTTTAATGATTCAATTTCAATGCATTCAATATGATACGCACACGAAATTGCCGTAATTATTTTAGTATTCGAAAGAACATTACACAGTAAAAATAATTGAAAAATTGGTATCCGAGTTTAAAAATTGCGATAAAAAATACAATTTCGTTAATGAAAGTAATTCTATTTTGACAGTTTATATATCAGAAATATTAAAAAGCATTGTTCCAACTCGGAATTGAAAAAAACGGATATAGGTGGTAATTTGTTTTGCAATGACATTCATTCGGAAGTTGATTAGCTTGAAAAGCAAGCTGTTTCGAATAATTTCACTACACATTATGTAGAAAAGGATTGGATACAAATGTTCGAACTCAGTCATGTGAAAAATAAATGATTTGTTACTTTCACTCGAGTATGACATTCAGCGGAATGATAAGTTATGACACTATATATGCATATTTAATGTGTAGGTGTATTGAATATATTTATTTATCAGAATTCTGATAGATAATGGCGAAATAAAGATCTATGGGCATACTTACAAGCATTAAAATTTTGGTAGATGCGAACCGGGATCTGGATATTCATGCATTAGAATTCTGAAATATCGAGGCAAAAAAAGACCTATGGGCTTACATGCATTAGAATTCTGACAGATCGAAGCAAAACAAAGAACTATGGTCATACTTGTATTAGAATTCTGCTGCATAGAGGCAAAGAAAAGATTTGGACAGTTCAATAATTCATTCGACTTTTTACAATTTTTGAGAATCGATTCCGAAGAATATCCTCATATTTTTTTCATTTATTTATAATTAGATATAATCATTCAAACACTAATTTCCATTGTGTCTACTTATAGTCCTTTACATAGTCCTTTACAACCATATAAAGTTATATTAGATTACCCGATAAAATGGCTTAAATTGATCGGAAACGTTGTGTTCAGTTAAAAACCTTTTAAGGTCGCAGTAAATATTGTGGTTAAGCAGATTCCTCAATTTTTATCAGTACACTAGAATCGTGTCATTTATGTCATTGGATGTTAACTGCAGTTCATTGCATTCACGTTTTATTAAGAGTAAAATTTGGAAACTTAAACAACCAATAAAATAATTTAAAATCTCGGCTTTGGCTCAAATACAATCGAGTGCTAAACACTATTTCCTGATGTGTAAATGCAACGAATTTTTTCCTTCAAAACATTCAAATTTTTGGATATGTTCCTTACAGATTTGTTTTTAAATTTTTAATTTGTAGTAAAAAAAATATTAAGCTGCAAAAAAGTGTTGTAAATGCATCTTAACAGATTCTTTAAACGTTTCTTTAATAAGTTGTTAGAAAGTTATAATGATGAAACTATATTATGTGCAACAAAATAGCGTAGAATATGATAGTTAAATGTCTTTAGCATATCTCTTTCTGACAGCAAATACATTTTGCTTAATCTCCTGTTATAAGCAACATGGTGAAGTGGGTTCTCAAATTTTGAATTTACAAAGTGTTCTTTCTTTTAAAATAATTCGCAAGCCAAAACGAGCTATGCTATGTCTTTATTAATTCGAAGATAATAATTATAACTGAGGAAAAAAACTCGTTTCTTTAACGCTTGCATGATTTTTTTTATTTATATTGCTCAAAAGATTGTTATAAATGACTTATATATGGTTCTAATATTACTTTATTTAAACTGCGGAGAAAAAAAAACAAACACTTCTTTGATTCATAAAATGGCGAATTTTAGAAATCGTTTTCTAATTTTCAATTTTAAACTTAAGCTTCAATAGAAAAAATACTTTGATTTTTCGGTAACCTATTTGTAACAAAATACATTCCTTAAGTTGTGTCAAATGAGATACTAAATACTGAATATAGTACTTAATGTACTTTATATAGTGCTTCATTAACTGAGAAAAAAGAACACATTACTTTGAGTAAACGATTTTATTAAATGGTAGCATTTCCAAATTGTTTTCTATTTTTCAATTTTACCTTTAGTTCTATTGGAATTAGAACTATCAACATGTTTTTTAGGTAAAAATATATTAGTTAAAAATAAGATATCTACAGAGACTGTTTGTAAATTATGAAAAATGTTACAATATATTTTAGCACATTTCTTATAGTAGATAAAAATTTCTTACACAAGCATAAATTAATAAAGAGATATTCTTTAATTTGTAGTTAGGCGAAAATTCCTTATTCCATTTTTTAAAAAAATTAAAAAATTATTTTGTTTCATTTGAAAATAACTTGTTAAAAATTGTAGCGGACTAGTAAACAAACGGCACATAATACCGTTTGCACAACTCAAAATCAATGTCTGACATTCATGGCATTATTAAATTCGAATAACACCATTTCAAATGAGAAATCATACGCATATCGATATATGCAGAGCTATATCGATCATTATTTTAAAATCAAATAACGATGCATCACTAGAGTCAAAGCTATCCTACCTGTTTAGAAATCATCTGTCAAATTCCTTCAGTGTAATCCAAAAGAAAATTAAATGTTTTAAGAGTGAAGATATTTACATTGCTCAAAAACGCATGGGGGGGTGTCGAAGTGTAATCCAGAGTTATCACCACCACGCGAGTAATCTCTGTGGAGGCAAATCAATTTTTTTTCTTCAAAACAATCGCGTAGAATAATAAATATAAAAAAATCGTTCGAAAAAACACACTCCCCGATTCGACTGCGTTGCTTGCTCTGAGTTTTCTTCTCTTTCGGAAGAGAATGTTTGATCCGTGAAGAGGGAAGAAGGTTGCCCTCCTTCAGTTGCTGCCGGTGATTTTGGCGAGAGAAATTTGGCGATCATTCACGGTCCTATCATGTGAGGTGAGAAGGTGACATTTTCCTGGGAGCGATTGTGATCCCGGTTTGTTAGTGACAAAGGAATGTTTCTAACCCCTTTTTCTCACATTCATTACAGCCCCGGGAATGAATTTTGCCTTTTCGTCATCAAAGCGAAAAATTATAGTCGCAAAAAAGGGTTCTTTGCGATTTAATATTTATATTAAATACTTTGCACATAAACGATGTTCCATTCGTTTTCATTATTAGGAGAGATAGGGGATGGAGAACAGAGGGATGCAGAGAAGAGGGGAGAAACAATCGGCCAGGCACCCAGCCAATAAGAAGACATCCAGTTGACGAAATTGAAGGATTCAAAACTAATGAACTACTGTTACAAACAATTATTTTTTTAAATTTATAATTTCAAGAAGAAAATAATATGAAATCTGAACAAGTATAGTGAGGTTTTAAAATATTTGAATACTAAAAAGGAAGAAGTGCAATAAAATTGAAATACTCTTGATATTTGGGTAGGTACTTTATTTATGTCACACTAGATCTGCACAATGGGCTATTGGGAAGCATCCCTGAGGATAATCCGAAGAACTGCCATCGCAATTTCGATCCTCTGCGAAGAGGATGACTCCCCTGTTTTGATAGTTCTACGACTACCTGCGTGCGAAGTCGAGCACTTCACTGGAGAACAGTTTAACGAGGACTGATACCGCACACCCTCGGTCCCTACGCAGGCTGATTAAAGTGGTCACCCACCCGTTTACTGGCCGCAGCCAGTGATGCTTGACTTCGGTGTTTCACTGGGAACCGTGTCTATACTTTCAGTCCACTGCGGAGTATTTAAGAATGAGAAAAGAAGTTTCGCTTGAGGATGATTGATATTTTTTTTACTATTGATATGTTTCTGAAAATAATTGCATAAAAATTCAATTTAAAATATGGTTCTTAATAAATATTTTTCTAAAGGTTTTTATTTGAATAAGGTTTTCTCACTCTTGTAATCGCCCGAGTTTGCCCCGAGCATCAAGCAATCTGAAGTGACGGAGAAATTCATTCTTGATTAAATGATTTTTAGTCTATTGCTCTTATTGTAAAGTTTGGGAATAACTTAAAGTGAGATTGGGGATAAGTTTACTAAATGTAACGATTGGGGGTAAGTTTGCATTTAAAAAAAATAATAAAGACACTAAAAAAGCCTTTAAAATTGCCAAACTTAAGAAGGTTCTTCCTGCCCCTCAAAAATATATGATGTAAATTGCTTCATTAAATATAATAATTCAAAGAGAAGCATTGAAATTAATTATTTTGATCAGCATATTAAAATGAAATATTTTTAATTTTAAAATTAGCATATTAAAAACCATATGTTTTATTAGCAAAAAATTATTTATTTTTATTCGCAAATTATTTATTCTTATTTTTTGTTATTATGTATTATAAAAATTATTTATTTCTAAATTTTGAATTTTTGATTTGGAATAAAATATGATATATAAGTTTTGAACAAAATATGACATCACTTTTTCGGGATTATTGAAGAGAAATTTTTTTTAAAATTTATATTTTCCAAGATAAACTGCCCTTTTATGAAAAGGAACAGCTTTAATCATTGCATAATGAAGTGCGAATATCCAGCTTTCCACAGATTGATTTTAGCATGTCAGAAGTTGGTTTTTCTATTGGTTTTATAAGAAAATGTACTTTATTTTTCGGTTTTTTCTTTCTTTTTTTATACTCTGGTGGAAATTTCCCGGGAAAAAACTATTACATAATATTCAAACAAAGTAGTCCAATAACCACAAATAAGGTAGTATTCAAACTGTAAACTGTGAGAAAAACTGTTTTGTTAACTGCTTTCACCTAATACTGTTAAACAACCGGAATTTTGTTGCACCAACTTGGCCCACCTGATGAAGTCACTTTGTTCCTCGCAGCTGGGTACATATTATAGCCAAGAGCGCTAATCTGTCAATCTCACAACCGAAATAACTAGGGTTCTAGTCCCAGTTTTAACCACCACAATATTTCTCTTCAACACTTGAAATGTTTCCAGTGTTCAGGACTCTAATTTGTGACTAGACTATTGGTATACAAATACTCTTATTCACACATAGATGGTAGCACCATGAGCTGCTTAACGCTAAAAAGTGTCATATTTACATCTCTTTACTTTAGCGAATGAATAACTGAAACAACCAGGTAATTTAATTAAACCACATTTCACGGTTCATTTAATGAAACACAACTAACATAAAGCCAAGATCCAATGTCCTATTAAATGTCTTTTTTGCGAATTTGAAACCTTGCTAGTCGGAAATGGTTAAAAGAAACTATAGTTTCGTATTTATGGTTTCTTAACCCTACTAGGTGTAAACGGTTTTTAAACCATAAAAATATTTTTTACCGTAAAATTTACAGTTCATCGGATGTAAAAATTGCTATCGGTTATTTTACCGTAATTTTATAATGAAAATTCTGACCGTGTATGAAAATTCAATGTTCAAAATGTTTTTTAAAATCATCAAATAAATTTTGAGTCGAAATTAACGAGGCATCAATTACAGATTTGAATAACTTAAGATCGTGTTATTAAAGTTTGCTTTTTCTTTCGTGTGAATATTATAAGAAATTATCAAAATAAATTAAAAAGTTTTAAAATTCTATTGTTTGCACGAAGAAACTGCATTGCTAGCTGTAGTTATCTCTAAAGTGAAGAAATGAGGTTTTTTTTTTNTTTTTTTTTTTTAATTATCGAGATAATGTGCAGATTACCTTGGGCAATCCGTTAAAGTGCCCACAATATTGCCTCTCAAATTACCTAGGTAATTTGTGAACTACCTAGATAGTCTGCACATTTTTTACTAAGGCAATTCATTTAAGTGAAAATAAGACCTTTGCTTGATCAAACACGGTATTAAAAATATATACTAAATATTCTATACTAATTTTTTTTTCGCTATCTTAAAATTCATATGATACTAACAGCACATTAGTTGATAGAATTAAAATCAAAGATTCCAACGGTTTTAAATAGTATTATTATTAAGGAATTAACATATTGTCATTTATTTATTCTGCAATACCTAAACAATCAAGACAATAAATACAACCAAATGATCAACAAATTAGTTGAATGCGAGAAACAATCTTTTGAATTTTAACGTGTGGTGTTCGCTACCTCACCAATAATTAAACATCAATTCATTAGTACATAAGACATGTTAATTAGATTTAATCGTGGGCTATCTTTTGATGAACTTTTATTAAGTATTTTTTGAAGGTTGACATAGTAGAAAGATCCTTTCCCCATATGGGTGACCCGGACGCTATATGAACTCGCCTACATCGATGGATGGTCCACATTGAACACTTGACTCCCTATTTGTGACTGCGTCATCGTCCTCCTCGCGTTGTTGCTTCTCAGTCTCATTTACACACAACGAGATCCTGACCGCGCTCTACTGCTAATAGCAACACGGGAGAGACCACACGCGCAACTTTATGCAGCTCTCACGACAAAAGCTCAAAACTCAGTGAACTTAATACAGCTCTCCCGGTCTTTCGCAAAACCGCGTTGAATTAACTAGTGGTATCCGTTCATCGAATTCCGTCCCTGATAAAATCCTGGTGGGAGAGTATGGGGGCTACCTATCCGATAATTAAACATCAATTCACTAGTATATAGAACATTCTATCTTGGGATACTTTTTGATAGGTCGACATCATCGGAAGATCCTTCTCCCACAAACGACACGGAAATCGTTAATATGTGAATAGCGAAAAACACTTAATTCCGCACTTTAACGGATCACCCTAGTTAATCAGCAGAATTGCTAAATAATGTCTAAATTAACGGAATTCGAGATTTAGAGGTAGCACTTCTTTTGCATGAATTTCGGGCCTATTAACATTTTATACACACTCCTCATCTATTCACGGTGTATTTCAATATAAAAATCCTTTGTTTCATTTTAAAAAAATATCTAAATCTGACTTGATAGCTAAAATAATAATAATAATAATTTAATAAAAAAAGAACAACTTAAACAGTTTCTTTTTTGGGTAATGAAAAACACTTCTGAACTAATGTGAAAAATAAAATCATCTATTTAAATGCGTACACAGATGAAATTTAAAAGTAACGATTAATTTTCAGGAATTTAAGATACATTGTTAGAAAGGTCCTGAAAAAGGGAATTAACAAATTGAAACAAAAAACTATTTTTTAATTTCATCATTTATATTTCTTACACAAAAAGTCATAAGAAATACATAAGTTTTTTATGTATTATTTAGTATACATATGAATTTTTTAAAATTTATATTCTTTTTACGTTAGTTCCCCTTTTTCTATATAGTTATGATGTCATGAAATGTGTGAAGTAAAGAAATCTTCGTCTGTTGGTAAAAAAAAAGGCATTAAGATGAGAATTTTTTTTGCATTACTTCGTTACATAATTCATTATTTCCGATATTGATTCTCTCGCCAATTTCTGAGAGCGATAAATTGCCAAAATCTAGCACCAGATAGTTCGCGTCCATACAGAATGAAGATACCGTAAAGTGGAAAAAAGTGGGTCTGTTTTAAAAAAGAAAAAAAAGAAACGGTTTGAAATAACAATGCATCTTTGGAATGTTCACCAACGAATGTAATTCTCTTTGCATTTAATGGAATTTTCGGACAAAGCGATATTTTTCCATTTAAAAGCATTTTGTTTTTAGCCTTTTAAAATAATGAATCTGAAGTCGGATAAACGTTAGGGAAATTTTTTCCCAGAAGTTGAGAAAAAAAATGTTCCTTTAAGAACTATTTTATTTTTTAAGCATGACTTTAATTTTTCCCATTTTTAAAACTATAAAAAATTTTTAACGTAATAATATCATAGCGATATTTTTCTAATTAAAGAACGCATAAAATAAC